TTTTGCTTGGGATTGCCTTCTCTTTCCACTATGTCATCTATGTGCTTATATACCTTAAGCTTCCGTTCCCCACTATTATCTATCTATTGTCTGAAATGGTACTTTCTCAAATCCTAGCCTTACTTCAAATTGTATAATGCCCTCTTCCCTGCCAGAAGACAGACACTTAGGACACTGTCATTTGAATGTATTCACTGGATTGAAAGTGAGTTCCTGCAGACTTTACATGTTATCCCTATGCTACCTCTTCTTGTATCCAGTCTGCTCTGTTGACTTATAACAACATTTTAATGCAACTCATGTACTTTTCTTTGAGCTTCCCAGGCAATTATCTGGACAGAACTGTAGGGTCGATAGTGAGGATTTGTGCACTCCTTGTGCTTCTTGAACGGCTAACTTTGCATACAGTGTATGCTTAGATGTTACTGAAAGTGCACAGGGCATGGAGATGTTTGATGCAGAACTTCTAGTGTTTTGGGTGGTACCATGAAATGAATGTTAACTGTCTATTTTTATCTTCTGATCTGTTACCTGCCCATTTGCTTTTTCTTCTGTGGGAAGATTCATCCAGGTTTGGGTAACTAAATCAGACGCATAAATCCATCAGAAAGCGCAGAGCGATTTACATGAAATTAAGCTTTGCTTTAAATTATTTGTGGAGATCAAATCTGTAACATTAGGTACCAAACCCAGAAGACGCTATTTTGTGTGACAAAGACATTCCCAGGTTTCGATTAAGAATCAATGTATGCAGTTTCTTGGATCAGACATTTAAAGGAAATGTGATCAACCTTCTCAGCTAATGTATTACATATGCTGAACTTTTTAAATGGCACATGTATCTTTCAGAGTTAGCATTTTTATACAATAGAGTATTAGTAAATTTAATTATGAATGTCTGTATATAGTTATCTGCACTGAAAGGTATGGGAAACATCTGTTTCTCTTGGTAAGATGAAGTTTGAAAATCTTTCGCAAATATTTTAAAGGTGTCAAGAGTAAAAAAAAAAAAAAGGAAGAAAAAAGATCTTTGAAAAATGAGAGGGGACTTTGGAACATCAAATTCATAGTTCCCAAATTTCCTGGGAAAGGGGAATATGTAGACATGCAACATGAAATTAAGTGTAGATTAGTTTAGTTGCAGGTAATAGGTATACACGCACTTGGGACAGGGAAAGGTGGTAGGGAGGGAAAGGATTTGTAATCTGCTCTGGAAGCTATTCTATTACCTTCAAAGAGATTGAAGCACTTTCATAATCATTTACTTAACTAAAGAGTTTTAACTGGGTCTTGTTTAGAGAGATTTGTGATACTGAGGGTTTAAATGTGATGCTTCCCCAGTCCCTGCTTGATCTAGAGTGCAACACATCTTCTCCTGCTGCCTGCAACATGAAGGAAAACTCTTGATAATGGCCATTTGCAATTAGCTCTCACAGTTTCTCTAACTTGTTCAAAGAAAACCAAGTGTTAAAGGAAGAATCAGCAGCTGATTTGCTTGTCTGACAATTCTTTTGCTAATTGTAACTGTCTCTGCCCTCTCACAAAAATAACATGACAGTATGTATAACAGTAAAGACATTGTTTGCTGGTGACTTACAACAATATCAGTTAGTATTTACGTCATACTGCAAGTGGTGCATGGTTTTAATAAGCAAGCAAGACAATAAATGGGTAACTCACTTTGCCTCTTGTTTGTCTCCCTAATAATATTTATGTTCTGGTTACAAGAACTTAAGAACTTAATTGGTTTATATTTCATTTAAAATTGACTAATTTTATAATTAAATATTTGAAGTGAGGCATGCTTTAACTCTATTGCTTTACTTCTGCCAAGGATCATAAACAAGCAATGGGGTTAATAACATGGTACAATTCTGTTTGGGTCCTCTTCCTACCCACATATGGAAATAATTAATAACGAACAAGATAAAATGACCATTCTAATTATATAAGCTATATCAGCAACAGCTTTTAATAAAAAAAACCAAAAAGCATGAAGTGGAAGGTACTAGCCTGCTGAATCTATGCCACTGACCAAATAACTCTTCAGCTGAGTCCTGTGAACAAATCTAGGTCTAAATTTTTAAAAACACTTTGCATCGTGATCCACAGAGGGACTTCAGCATCGTGGTATTCAAGATTACAGGGGTACTGAAAAGCGAGAAACTTCAGGAGGTCTTTTTGCGTATATAACGATTACAGTTTATGGATCTGTGAAATGAAAATTTGTTATCTAAAGTTGCAGTAATGCCTATGTTGAATTCTTTCTGAGTGATCTAGTAGCACTTGGAATCTGAAAAGTGTCTGGTAGGTATAGTAATCTTTCAGGAAGTGACTATATCCTTTAAAAATTAATAAATATCATTAGTTTGCAGGGCTGGCCTTAATTTTTAAGTGGAGTTGATTGACAACTTTCTGTTAAAGTGTTTTTTTCAATTATGGTTATGGGAAAACATTTTTTTTCTGAGTACACTGGCTCAATTTTGTCAATTTTTTCCACTTTGTTCAGAAAATCTGTGATAATAATTCCTTTTGAATTTAACTAGCTGAGAATATTATTTTTTAAAAACTGCTAAATGCAGTTTTGAGCTCGATTGCAGCTCAAGGTCTCATTTCTCCTATGCATCAATCATCCTAAAGAACTTGAGCCCTTTGTGTTGCGGTGGAGGTTTCCCTTATCAGGGAAGGAAACAATCTTTGAGTGAAGCTGTGTAGAAATCGCAGCCAGTCACAGCCAGGGATACCTTTAGGGTTCCTGACAGTTAGGGGATACAGGCAGATTGAAGATAGCTTCAGCGAAGAAAGATTATTTATTTATTTATTTATTTATTTAGTAAAACAGCTTCCGAGAATGAATATTAGTCTTTCTCATGTAACACTTCTCCCAAATAAGCTTTGAAGCAGATGCAAAGCCCATGGAGTATTACACATCATTAATTGACCTCTTCACTCCGCACCAAAGCTACTTTGTGGTGGCAATTTTGTGTATGTTCCCTGGCAATATGTGTCTATAATTAAACTCAGCCCCAGTCACAATATGAGCGAAGAGGTTGATTTTGTCTGCTCTCAAAGGAGTCATATTGGAAAGGAACTTGGGAGGTGATGATATGTCATCTGTTCTCCAGAAGGATTTGCAAATACTGCCCATGTTAGAATCCATAAGGAATAGATCTTTTCTCCAGTCATTAAAATGTGTGTCTTTGTGGGATAAATGAGTCTATATGTTTTGTCAAAGGTACAGAAACTGCTATATTGCATTTGATGCTACTGTAGTCCTATGCCAGATGGGACTACATGAAGATGAAAAAAGTCCATTATTAAAGAACAGTTTTCTCAAAAGCTTTGAGTGTCTTTCACCCCAAACAGGGTGTAGTTTCTCTCCTTAAGCAGAATAAATGTTGTCTGTCATGTGCTAGGGTTTCCCCGCCACCACCACCTTTCACATAATAAGAACATAAGAAATCCCCTACTGAGTAATCCCCTATGGTCTGTCAAGCCCAGCAGTGTCTCCTGCAGTGGTAAAGGGAGATGCTATTTAAAGACCAAGTGTATGAGGCCTGGCTGCCTTTTGCAGTCCATTCCCTTTGTATTTCTCCAGTATCAAAGTCAGTGTATTAGGGATGGTGGCTAGTATATCACTGCCTAGTCATTTTAGTATCCACGTATTAGATAATAGATCCAGTATGGGATCTATTGCCCACAAATTTGTCCAACCTCTTTCTGAACCTGCTGACACTGTCTGTCTCCACAACCAGGATCTTCTGTTAGCAATACGTAGAATTGCTCTACCTCTTGTGTATAGAAGTACTTTCATTTATCGTGTTTTTAAATCTCCTATTAGTATCATCAAGTATCCCTAGTTCTAGTATTACAAAATTTTAATAGCAGTTCAACACAATGTTGGATATATGGGTAGGGCAAAATTTTGTATAGCAACAGAAGTGTTGTAAATATTCATTATTCTGTATTATTTTGTATCTTATTAAAAGGAAAAAACGGGCCTTTGTTGTGTTGTTTATAGGACTGGTACTGAACAGAGCGTTTCATTGTGCCATCTGCAGTGCCAATAAATCTTTTTCCTGCCTGTTTAACTACTTCAGAAGCCAGAATTTTATTCCAAAACAGACATGATAAATATATTTATGTCGTCATTGTAATTAAGGAGTTAGTTATGATCACTTTAATTGTAGTTTAGCTTCTCTGTTGCTCATTTTCCTATTGTGGATCAAGCTTTAAAGTAGAAATGTTAGTTTCCAGTTAGAATATAACATTTAAAAGCACAGAGGCATTTAGAGGGAGAAAATCTTGCTGACAACCTATGTAATATGTGAATGAAGCAGTCGGATGGAGAACTGAAATTAAATGACGGCCTTCATGAGGAACAGGAAATTAAGGCTATGGATTCACTGTAGCAGAGAAGGCTCTCTTTTAAGGGAGGGATTGTTCCCCTTTTAGACCATGAGGCATCACTGTGGCAATATACCAGCTGTTAACAAAGCAAATTATTAGTGACCAAGTATTCAATATATTTGACATTGTGTTTTTAAACAATCTGTAGTCTGGAAATGAGGAGAATACGACACTGAGCACTTGGTTCTCTTCAAAAATATTGTATAGCCATCTCTGTTATTGATCCTTCACTTTCTTTTCGTTCCAAGAAAAAGAATTGAGTACACCTAAAAATAACAGATAAGCAATGAAAAATTATTTCCTCTTTTGTACTTCTATATATGTATGAAGATTTATATTTTAATTTTGATCACAGATATGGCAATAGTGGTCATTTCTAACTACAGCAAATCTTATGTATCTGGTTTGAGTCACTTTAACCAAAAGGCCTTTTGCCTGACTTTTTGGGATCAAATATATGTGGATTGGAACTTAACAGCTTTACAAATATTTACTGACTTTGCATGTTGCAATGGACATCGCTTTTCTGTAGGAGTTCGTGACTGTCTGTGAATATGTGTGCTGAAAATTGTGATGCTCTCTTATTACAGCTTCTGCAAACAAGACAAGTTGCCCATTACGTTCCAGTCCTGTGTGATCACGAAGGAGTGCCAGGTGTCAGAGTGGTCAGAATGGACCCCCTGCTCCAAAACCTGCTTTGACATGACAACCCCTAAAGGGAATCGTACAAGATCACGGACCATTAAACAGCTCCCTATCGGCAGTGAAAGTGAATGCCCGCAGTTAGAAGAAACAGAGCAGTGTGTTTCTCAAGGAGATGGTGTGGCACCGTGCATTACGTAAGTTGGTTCATTTCAGTTCTCCCTATACAAAAATGAGGAATTTCAATTAAGCGGACAGGGCTGGTGATGGAATATCAACCAAACCGTTATTAAAGAAATGATTGGTTTGATTTTATTTTTTATCCTTTGCTTATTCAGTGCTCTTAAAAGTCTGAAGTCCACAAATAGCTGCTATTATAGTGAAATTACTTCATCCTCTAAATACAGGAAAAATAACACATACGTATTTTTTTTGTTAGTGTTAACTTTTAAAAGAGAACGTTTGTACGTATGCAGGCTCAGTCAAGACCATAATAAATTAATTGTATTAATTTGTCAGTGATCTTTTCCCTAAATTACGTTTCTAACAGAATCATTGTTTTCTGAAGTACTTGTCTGTTTGCAGACAAAATGCTGAACATAAGAAAGAGGTGATAAACATCTGTTTAGCAACCAGATGTTTTTAGTGAGGCTCGTATTCAGCACAACAAAGGCAGGACTGGGCCCCAAATGGAAAATGGGAGAGGCTAACAGTGACAGTAAATAAACTAACCTTGTTTAAAGTTTAGGAGAAATGGCAGCAAGCACTTTATGATTCAAGAGATTGCTGTAATCTTTATCAACTAATCGAGATTAATATTAAAGTCCCAACTGTGCTTTTTCTTTATCAGACTGAGAAGAGGGTCTGGGGAAATGCCATTTGATGTTAAGCATCTTTGACTGTGGTACATATTTTTCACTTAAGAGTTGAAATGTCATCTTTCCCCATCTCCAGCAACATTAGGAAGCAGTTCACTTGATTTAGCCTTAAAGTACTTGTTGGGTAGAGAATTCTGTGGCATTTCTTGCAGTTCATAATCCTGATTGCGGTTTTAACTGGGAGTCACAGATCATCTTTCCTGTGCATTCACTGATTAGAAAGCTCACAGCTTCTTGTCATTCATCAGTACCCAGCAGGGATGCTTCAGTACTGCAGAGCCATCTTCCTCTTGACAGTGAAAAAGGAACTTACTGAAAGGTTTTTCTGAAGTAATAATAAAAAAATACATTTATAGTTCTACCTTGATATTCAGGAGAAACTTCTGTCTCTCTTATCAAAGATGAAAAAGAGGCTTTTGGGTTTGTTTTTGGCGGGGTTGGGTTGTTGTGGTTTTTTCTCCTCTACTTTTCTGGCTCTTATGTTTCTCAGCGTGCACATTTCTTTGATATTTTGGCTTTGGTTCATATAAATTGTCTAGCTCTAAACAAATGCCGAGAGTCGCAATCTTGAAAGTTAGCTTATCTGAACATAGACAATATGTCTCTGTATATCAAGTTTTTCTTCCCTCCAATAAAATATTTATGTGCAGTATGTTTCAGGAATTGAACAGAAAAGATCTCCTAAAAAGTAGTGATTTCAAAAGTGAAATAATAGAGGAGAAGTTTCCACCCACACAAAATATCAGACTTAATGCAACTCTGTGTACAAGAAATTGTGGGGCTCAGGCCTTTTAGAAAATGAATAAAGCTATTAAGTGCTTCAGCTTGTATAACTTAATGCTGTGTAAAATGGCTTAATGATTTCTAAAGAACCAATTAATCAAATTTGATCCAGGTACGGTTGGCGGACCACAGAGTGGACAGAATGCCGTGTAGATCCTCTCCTTAGCCAACAGGACAAGAGGCGAGGAAATCAGACAGCGCTGTGCGGCGGTGGCATTCAAACCCGGGAAATGTACTGCGTGCAAGCTAATGAAAATCTCCTCTCTTATTTAAATACCCTCAAGGAAAAAGAAGGTAAATTTGGTTCACTTGCTATTGAGTTAATGTGAAATCAGAGCACTTCAGCATTCCAGAGCTCCTTGACAGCCATTGTCTTCTGTCATGAGTGCCTTCTTACCTTGCAGGTTACTGTTATTTTCTAGTTCAGACGAAAACACTTAATTGCAGTAGCAGAGATTTCATTCTTTGTGCTGCAAATATTGGTTCCTAGCTAGAAATTACTATTTTTTAATATCTACTTGTGCTGGTTTCAGCTGGGATAGAATTACTTTTCTTCATAGTAGCTACTATGGGGCTATGTTTTGGATTTGTGCTGAAAACAGTGTTGATGATACAGAGATGATTGAAAAATATTGTCTTACGTAAATGATATCTCTCAATAAGAAAGAGCATGAGCAGGTGAGTCAGAAATCCTAGAGTCAGTTCCTTCCTCTACTGTAAATTTCCTGTGTCCTGGGTGATGGGTGATGAACCTGCGCGGTTTGATGTGCAGATGGAATATGTCAATTCTGGCATGTAAGCTCAATATAGAAATATGTAAAAATATGACTAGATGTCATTCTCAAGGAATTGTTTTGGTTTTTCTTTTTCTTCTTTTCTTGCTTTGGTCAAGTTCTTAAGTTGCTATCAGGACTTCAAGCCAATATAATTTCATGGGTTTGTTTCCCTAACTGAAAGAGAGATTATTCCTTGTCACTGTTACAGCTTGTACAGCTTTTTAAGAGAAGAGAGAATAGCTTAGGAGACAAAATCTTTAATTTGTTTGGTAATACACGTACTTAAGAACAACATGAGTATTTTATGTTATGTCTACTTCTGCATACTAATGCAGCACTATAGATGTAGAAATTAGTGAATTAAGCTAAAAGAATTTAGCTTGTTAATTAAATTTTATCCTCTTCTGTAGCTGTTTCATACGAACACACATTATGATTAATAAATAAATAAAGCCATATACTTCAGGAAAAGCAACATCATTATACAAGTTATGTGTAGTACAACATTTAGACCAGAGCTGACCAAACTGCAGGCTAGTGAGGTTTCTGCTGTGCGTTAAAGGTACTTTCAGACTTGCTGTAGAGGTAGAGTTTGTGGGGAATATTAATGCCAACATCCATTTCAGCGTGACTGCTCGGATCAGTAGGGTGTGACTTGTGTGCTCCGCGGGCCCCACATCTGTATTTATTAAAGAAGAAGCTTTCAAGTGTCTTCATTTAGTGCAAATCAGCTTCCGCCCAAGGGCTTTTAGTAAATCACCTCTGCCGAACAAAGTTTAGATGCCCCTGCCTTAGAGTAAAGGAGTAAAACCTCCCAGCTAAGGAGAGGTAACAATAAAATCAGTGGCAGCTTACTGTTCAGAATGATGATTAGGATTTTGGTAGGCTGTGAAGTCTCGCCGGCTTAGGCGGGTGTGAAATCTGCCCTTATCAGACTGTGACAGGAACACGCGGAGCCCATCAGGAGGTAATCTCTGCAGGCCCCAGAAAGCTGATTAAAATGTAACTAGTCTTTGGATGCATAAACATGAGAACAATTTTTCAAGAGCTCAAACTAGGGGTGAAGTAGGTGTTAGTTTAAAAAGGAGCTCTGGGGTGTTTCCATATTAGGGGACAGATTTTCAGAAGAGCTGCTTCTCCTCTCATCTTCCCTCTCTCTCCCCTCCCATCATGGATTCGGTGTGGGCAAGAGCTGCTCTCCAGGCCCTCTGAGGAACAAGCAAATCGGTGCCTCTAAAAACAATACCATTTGAAAACTATGAGTAATTTGAGGATGGGAAAAACATGGGGGAGACACCTACCAGTTTTAGCTGTGGGGAAATGCCTTCATTTCAGTGTGGTTTGCTGTTGGTTGTAGCGAATGCTGTCTCGGTAAGGCTGCTTTGAAGATCTCCGTTCTCATATACTCATGGTGGCATTTCCCTGTTATTTCAGAAAGTCAGTCACAGAGCAAGTCGAAGGCTAGTGCTGCACCTCTGCTATCGATCACTTTTGAAATAACAGGTAGGTAAATTAATGCCTCCCACCTGGCCTTTCAATCAAAAGCATGCAAAGGTGGCAGCGTCCCTTTCGGGGGAACTACGTTGGCTGTCTGTGTATAATTAACATGTTTATATAGCTCTGAAATAGTTTAATGCATTTGTGCATTCTCAGGAAATTTCAGATCAGTTTGAAAGTGACAAGTTTGAGTTTTAACTCAAACTAATGAAGTTCACGAGCCAGCTGGGATGCTAGGACAGTTGCCTGCTCCACTCCTGAATCATTTTAGCAAGTGACTGATTTTGCTCTCGATTCTGAGCGCTGGGAATTGCTTCGTTGTGTTCATCACAGATGCTATTTCCAGTCCCTTTTGTAGATTTAAAGCACCGAGTTAGGGCTTCAGTAAGAATTTGATCTTTTAATACTTAGCTGAACCAGAATCCTTCACGACATTCAGGTCTGTATTATCTCCTATCAGAATTCATAAAATTAGACTTGAGGAAGAAGAGGGAGTATTGGGTGTAGTAATTAGGCAGCTGACAATCAAGATTCCTGGAGGCCACTGTCATTCTGCCATTTACTTGCCACTGACTTAAATTGTTTCATCTCTATTCACCTATTTAACTGGTTTAGTCATGAAGTTTCTCTCATGGTAAGCCTATGAGGTAGATTGTGTCATCTTTTTCCAAGTACCTTTAAATCCCTCAATGTAGAATAAGGATGAGAGGAAAGTTCCTTTATGGGCATAAATTTATTCCACACCTGCAAACACAGACTCGTTGCCCTGTTAAACACAGCGGAACTGCTTACATGCACGGAGTTGTGCAGTTGCTTAGAGGATCAGGTTGTGAATTATCTGCTGTCTTTTGATGACAGCATTCAGCATTGTAGAATATGGGTGAAGACTATGTATTCTTTCATTGATGGTTGTAATGTATTTTGGGCTTGGGTTTCTCTTGCTTTTTTTTGGGTGAGAGCACTTTAGTTGGAGAAATTTCCTTCTGTTGTTTGCGGTGAAACCAGTGTAACAAATGACCAGAAAGAGGAATATGAAGTTGTGTCTGCTTATGCTGATGAAGCCGCATACAAATTCACTCTCTTTGCCAGCCTGGTTGTTACTGAGCACTAGTCTGTTGAGGATTCCTGGAGAAGAATGGGGAGGTTGAGACCTCGATAAATGTAGAAAATGCTTAAGAACAGAACTGTGTTTTTTCTTTTCAGTTCTTTTTAAAATGCAGTCATTCGGGGAAGTGTTTTACAAGGGTATAAAATATATTCAGCTAAAATTTCCTAATATAGTAGATGATTTGAGGACAGGGTGATTGAATCTCATTTCAGTTTTTAGGTCACTACCTCAAACCTGAAATTCATTCAAAACTGAGTAATTTTTTAGTTACACTGAAGGAGAAAAGTGAATTCATTTTGATAATCTCTCTTTCTTTCCATTTTTGGCCCCAAATTTGGTCAAATTCCACACAGAGCTTGTAGTATTACACACAGTCTAATCAGCATTCAGCATCACTGCCAAGGAGTAAAGAACAATCTTTATTGCTACCACAAGAGAGTATGAAAGGACAGAGATAAGACAAGGTTTTAAACTGTGAATTTCTGCATCCAGCATCATCTGCTCTCAAAGCGTCTTTGCTAAACAATAAGCAGCAAAAGCTGAGCTCATTTATACTTTTCTGATGCTGAAAGAAATCCATTTAAATTAATGGGAGCAAGATGTTCATAAGATACCCAGGCAAGGCTAAGTTTTCTTATTTTACTGTCATATCTCAAAGAAAGAATTCTGAGTAATCCTGGGTGAAATACACCCTGAGTGTTCAATGATGAAAACATTTTTTTAATGAGCTGGAATGTAATTTGTCTGTCCTACTGTTGAATTCTTTTGTTTTAAAAGCTATATATAACAGATCTGGTAGCAGAAATTTGTACATCACTTATGTTCGAAGAAGAGCATTTCAAAAACATTTTGGCATATTGAGAGATTTATTGATACCACTTACCTGTCCCCAAAGCACTTCTTTCTTCCCCTACACTCTAAGTGATGGGAAAGGCAGATATTTTCAGTAAGTTTTTTCACGATAAGTTTATTTAACAATGTTTGCTGACAAGACCTAGAATTCTTACTGGACAGATACCTCCAAAAAATTGAAATAGCATTCCTATTACTTAAGTCAGCCTCTTTAAAGCCAAACACAGTCACAGTTCCTCATATTTTAGAATTTCAGGACCATCACATATTTAGCTTGAAGCCAAATGAATTGCGACAGTAGTACAGTAGTACCTTCTATTGGCAAACTCTTTAAAAAATCTGGTTGAGATATGAAACATCTGTGATATGAAAATTTGCTATTTAAAGCTTCCCGATGAAAGGTCTTTGTTATTTTTCTGAGTAACATCCCAGGAACTGGTATGATGGTAAGTTCTTTATGCTGATGCAACCTCAGAACACTTTCTCTGAAGCAAGGCTGCGTCTCAGGGGTGTAATTGACCCTTAATTTCAACTGTCTCACTTGGGCAATTCCCTGATTAAATCAAGGTTAAGAAAGTACGGTTAGCAATTACTTACTGTTTTTCTTTTTTTATTAGAAACTATTCAATACAAATTTAATTACAGGCAAGTTATGTTTATTTATATCCATGTTCTACACAAGATATGCATATTATGTTGATTATCATGCACGTTAGGTGCGCCTGTCAACCTTATTGTAAAATTCAATATTCTGTCATAAAATTTAATTCCAACATAGCATTATGCAAATGTTGGAATATTTGTTCTTGTATTATTTTGTGTTAAGAGACTGGTGAGCTGGAGGCAGTAATGTTGAATGAATATCTGCCATCTTCATGCCCTCATTATGTGGAGCCACACAGTGTAAAACTGTGCCAAAGGAGGCAACATGGGAAACCAGAATAGGGTGATGATTTTTCATTCCCTTTTCACCTTAAAAAGTGAGCATTGAATACTTTATCTGTAAATGGAAAGATCATCTACTTCAAAAGTCTCAATGGAAAGATACACACATATCTACAAAAGAGACCGTTCTTTAACCACCTGATGTTTACTTTAACATTTTATCTCTGGTTATTGATCTCATCTTTCAGAAGGATATTTTGTCATATTCTGAACTTCTTTCAGAATATGTTTCATCAGAGAGCTCTTTCCATCAAAAAAGCTTATTTGTAGTGGTGGCAGAAAATTAATGAGGTAACTTTCCTGTGAAAAAATGCTGAGGGAGTAGGATGAGAGTGTTTCAAGTTAAAGAATTGCATGTTTCTTCAGTCAACCAAAGTGAATGAATACGGCAGACTTCACTTTGCCTTCTAGCAGATCTTCTCTGCTTAGTTTAATATTTTGTCAAGTCCTATATTATGAAAGGGAATTAAAATCTTGCTTGTAATGAAATGGTACATTTTGTTTTAGAGTTCTGTGCCTTACTCTGGCACCTTATAGAGTTGTCCTATTATTTGTATAACCTGGGAATTCAAAAGAGTAAAGTGTGGAAGGAGCAGGGTGATTGGCTTGTTCCAGGGTTTATTGATCCTTAAAGAACAGAAGAATCTGCCTTCACATGTGTCTTTATAGATTAATAATACTTTAATGAAAAAATCAATGTTCTTGTGCACAGTTTTAATTATTTTAAATATATAAATATTTATAATATAATTATAAATATATAAAAATTATTTTACATATATATATTATATGCAAACCATATATGTATCTAAAACAAAGCCTTTCTTGAACTAAAGCTGTTACTGCACAAATCTTATTGCTGAGTGTGCACTTGAAGATCTTTTCAGTAAAAGAAAAAAAAATTGTCATAATTTTAACTGTGTTTCAGGTTATAGCTTAAAAATAATCTTCTAAATATTAATTAACCAGGCTTTGGAAGCTATAGTTTCATATAGGAGCAAAGGGATATATACAGCTTCTTGTTCAGTTTCTTAAGTGAAGACATACGCAGTAAGACAGCAGGACATTGATTTACACAGAGCGCAATGTGAACAATTGTTGTAGTAACATAATCTATCCATTAAATGAAAGGACTAGGTCCGAGAGGATGCTGCAATATCTACAGTCTTCCTGAATCGATGTAATCGGGTTTGGCTCTGTTCATGCAGAGAGTAAACTGACTTCTGTTTCATTTTTTCAAGACAGGCTTTTTTCCATCACTTCATCAGATTGAAATGATGAGATAGCAGCCTTTCTGAACGAAGGATGGTTCTGTCCACTTAGAGCTGAGGATCATGACCAGTGACATGTGAGAAATGTGTTGACTTTGTTTTGACAGCCTCGAGGCCAGTGGACCGTAGGCTGTGCATGGGACCTCTTCCCAGCACCTCCCAGCTGTGCCATATCCCCTGTCCTACAGAGTGTGAGACCTCGGCGTGGTCAGCCTGGGGACCATGCACCTATGAAAGCTGTGATGACCCTCAGGCCAAGAAGGGTATGTAAAAATTCAGCAAAGCCTTTCAGTGGTGATTATTTCATATTCCTAAGTCACTAAACACCTCTGGCTATGCAAGCATACTAAATTTTGTACCAAGAAGGGTATATCCAGTGTCCCTGAGAATCAAAAAAAGGTCATTGAATTAGGACTATATTTAGCATTACTGCTCCACCAAAGCTGGCAAAAATGTAGGCTGTTTACTAGGCTCTCAAGGTCAGTTTGTATTATTAGAGGTCAGTTCCTGTTTCAAACCTTCCTCTCAAACTGAAAGGGATACAGTTTGTATATGTGTTCAAATCACAATTCTGGCACTGTCTTGAAAGGAGGGCAGAAGCAGCCTTTGAGGTGCATAGTGTCCAAGTCACTCAAAGATTTACAGTTCAGTAATAGCTTAAGAATTCACCAGTAGACCATAAAGCATGCTCTGGCAAAGAGCTGGGACCATTCGCTGTTGGCAAGTGACACTGTTTTACTGATGACATATGTGCTGGTTTCAATTTTCACATGTTTTACAGTTTATTCCTATGCAGAACAGATTGTAGTAACCTGACATCAAAATAGGAAAGCAAGAATACAGTGACAAGGACCTCATGTAAGACATCTGCAGGTTTCTGGCTGTAAAAGAGAAAAACTGGCCTAGTCATTGCTGCGATGGGATCATCTGACAAAAGTTGAGAACGCAGACCTGGTTCCTTGATTGAAAACACTCATAAGAAAGGGCAGCCACATATGTCCACTTGAAGGAGCAACTGTAATTACCACATTAGCTTAGTTTCTTCTTCCTGGTATACTGCTAGCTACACTTCAGTCTGGGCAGCAATAATGCAAGTTTTACAATGCTGTCTCACGGTAATGTGGCCCAACCTTGATCAATTCAAGAAGCAAAAAGCAGTTTGGTGTGTAAGCCTATTGGTTTAAGTCTCCTCTGAGTATGGCTGTCAAGTAGTCTGTTATTTCTGTTGCTCTTCCATCACTGAAAGATTTGCTACCTTTTTGGGGGTAATGTTTAGGTTTGTGAGACTGATTTGGACACCTGCCTCATGGAAACATATTAGCATGTACTTTATGCAAGTCTTTAGTCCTGCACACATGACATCTTTTTTCAACTGCCAATGTTTTCCTCTTATCTGGAAATTCTTATATTTTATTTTATAATTACATTGACAGTTCCTCTGAGAGAATGGTGTAGAAGTTGTACAGGCACTCCCAGTTTTAGCAGCAAATCTCTCTACATATTTCAGGAATGTCCCTTTACTGTGGATCATTTGCCTCCTTGTTGCAGTAGATACTGGAGTTCTTTTTTTGAAATTATATCAGCCCTTTGTAGCAGGCTGAGTAAACCATTTGGACATAATTTGGCTGACCTCTTCAACTTAGAAAAAAATAATTAAAGATAGATGGAAATGTATTTTTAAAGTAATATTTATTATAATTGAATTGAGGCACATCTTCAAACAAAGAATCAATTCTTGCACATATGTGTTTGAAAACTCTGTACTGTTTAGTTTGTGTCCTGGTAGAAATTAAAGAGTTATATGTAGTATTTTATAAAAAATATCTGTGTATTACTAGCCTGCCTGAATATTGAGATAAAACAAAAGAGACTGTGAAGAGATGTAAAAAGAAACAAACCTTTGCCAAAGTTAAAATATTCTGATTAGATATATCAGAAACTGTAGAAAATCATTAAATGAGAAAATATTTCCTGAATCCATTCAGTTTGGTTAGGTTCTTCTGACTATACATTTAGTCTGGCTTTTTCAACATGCCATCCTGAAAGGGAGAGAGAGGGTTGCTCTTAGAGATTGACATTGACCTGGCAGATGACACACTGTATAAAGGCCCATCAGTTTCTCTGATCCAAAATGAGCTTAGGTAGTCTTAAGGAAATTTGTAAATGCTTGCAAGGCAATATTGTGATGTTAATTACTGAAAATTTGTTCATAGGACTTTTTGGGTTTATTTCCTTGCCTTGCCTTTTCTGGCAATGTAGTCTTTTTTTAATTTCTTTTTTTTGGGGGGAGGGGAATGTTTCTAAGCTGATTTCACTTGATAATCCATCCCTGTTGGAAGATACCTGAGAAGTAACCAAGATTTGTTAGATGAGATGGATCTGGCAAGAGTGATGCACAGGAAATGACTCCTGTCTCCCTCCTGGAATACGTATGACTAGGATAAACAGGGGTTTAAGGCAAAGCTTACTGAATAAGCTCAAAACTTTTGATGCTCTTGTGAAGTTTTACCTCTCTTCCTTCTTTAATGAGTTGTTCTACCCAGTTATCTAAAATGTAGTGTTGCACTGAGTGTCTGTGGTATCTTTTACACAGAAGAGAAACTGAACTGTTCACTCAGGTGTAGATAGATAAAAATCTCTTCACTTTGCATTTCAGAATTGAATTATTCTGCCATTTGTATTTTCATGGGCATTTCAGGCTTTAAACTAAGGAAACGGCGCATCACCAATGAGCCTACGGGAGGAACAGGAAACTGCCCTCACCTGCTGGAAGCCATCCCGTGTGAAGAGCCCTCCTGCTATGACTGGAGAATCATGGGGCTGGAGGAGTGCATTCCTGACAATGAGAAGCCATGTGGCCCTGGTACACAGGTTCCTGTCGTCGTCTGTGTCAACAGTGATGGTAAGATGCCTTTTCCCACAGTCCGCTGACTAGAGTGAAGATGCTAAAATGTAGTCCAAAAGCGTAGCAGTTTTTGTTGTTCTCAGCTTTCTCAGTCCTTAAGACCAAGCTATCTGGAATAGAGAGAAATGTCCTTTAGTATTGGTTAGGAAGGATAGGCCCTCTAGTTGCTCTAAGATCAAGCTCCTTCACCTACACACCGCAGATTTTCAAAGGTTCCCGAAGAGAGAAAACAGCTGTTGTTTTTCAGTAGGTCAGACTCATGCCTGCAATGACTTGACTGAATTCCCTGATGTAATCCCACTAACAAAGCTGATCCTCTGAGTCCAGAACCAAATAAAGTGTGAGTAAAGTAAGATGCATTACAGGAAGTACAGCTGGAAGAAAAATAATAATGTGTTTATTAAAAAGCATGGTTTGATGTGTGTTATGGAGTTGGTTTGACAGTCCAAGCTGTCTTGCTTCTTCAAAAGGTCAAACAAAAAATACTGCCATTATTCAATTATCCTCTGTGAGAGAAAACAGATTTTGCATTCCATAGTCATAAAAGCCAATTTTGAAAGCTGCTTACAAAAAACTTTAATCTACAGAAGATTAATGAATTACTGTTGCGAGAATATTCTTTGTTCATTAGTAATATTATAGGCTAGAGCAGCATATAAATTAAAATAGTTGTACTGACTACAGTGTAGTTATGGTAAGGAACTTCTAACTCCCTATAGCGGATTAAGAGGACACCTCTGACGAGTGTTTTACAGCTGCACAAAATATTTTGTAATTAAACTGGTCAGAAGTAATAAGAACTGATTATAGAGAGATTTAACTCTTGAGCTTTCATGCTCAAGAATTTGAGTCATAATTGAGTTTTGGGGCTTAAATTGAAAACCTTGGAGTTAAAGTGTAGCCCTTATTTTTCTGCATACACCTAAGAGAACTGGTAACCATTTTTACAGCTCAGAAAGAGATTAGCCTAGAATTACAATAATTAATCTACTACATTTTATGTCCCTATCTCAAAAAATTTCCCTTCACAGTGTAATAATTTCTTGGCAACAATACTGAAACTATTTGAAATGTTGTTTGTATACATTTTCAGATGAAAAATGGCCTTTTCCTCATAAATGAAAGTGTTCCCTAAATAATTCTGAATTTTTCTCTTTTTTTTTTTTAACAGAAAAAAAAATCTTTAAAACAAAAAGAAAGTGTATTTTTTTGTTTTACTAGATTTTGGCTAGTTTGGCTTACCTTTGGTTTTGAGGAGTGGTATTTGCTCACATGTCTAACTTCCAATTAGCCTAATTTCTTACTAAATTGTAATATAGACATTTGTATCGACTATAATTTATTATAACCATAATACATTTGGAGCATGCAATCGAGCTACTAAACTCTGAGATATCTTTTATGTATATGGTATTTTCTATTGTTCTATTTCAAACTCACAGGATTTGCTCTCTGCACTGCATAGACTTTGGTTTTGGCCAAATTTGACTTGGAAGACTTATGATTAATTTTTTTCCTCCCTGTATTAATCTTTGTCTTTCTGTCTTTCTGAGTTATATGGCATTATACATTGCCTATATCAGCAATCTGTCCCAGAAGGAGTGAGAAGTCGGGCTTTGGCCATGTGCCTGTCAGTCTTTAAGATTAAAGAGTTGTGGGCACAGCTTCAAAGAAAGGAGAAAACAAATTGCAATTATGGTTTGTTTTGCAAAGATCCAATCACCCACAAAGATATGCATTCAATATCTTTTGAAAGAGTGCAAAAACAATGGAGAGTAATGTAGTGGATTGCCTCAGCTCTTCCTTGAAAGCCCTTCCTTCTCTTAGCAAACGATCTTCTGTTACCTTCGCCAGTAATACCAAGTGGCTTTTGCTTAGGTCTCTCCTGAGAAAAATTACCATGATACAGTAGAAGCAAACAAAGTACAAAGTAAGGACCCACCGACCTCAGTAGTCTCTCCCTCCCAGCTAACTCTGCTCAAGCATCTCCTTACTTTGCCTCCCATAGCACTAACACACTGAAAATCCTGTAGGCAACTTTTAAATGCTCCTGTAAACACACACTGCCACCTCTTCCCAGGTAGCTCCCATCTAGTACTCTAGCCTCCTACCCTGGCACAGGATACTCCTGGTGTCTTTCTTCACTAAACACTTGTGGCAGGCATCCAGATTCTGCTCTGCAAAATCTAGGAGAGCAGCACCTTGCAATCAGGCAGGTTTTGCATCAAGCCCCACAGCTACAAGGTAGTTTGCAGTAAAATAAAATTTGGAGAATGCTACTCTTCCATTGTCTAAACATCATAGTTTAAATTAATTGTCATATGAAATCTGTGATATTCAGTGTTCTTTGAGCACTTCTTGGAGAAGACTACATTGACTGTCAGTTAAAGACTGTGATTCAATTAAGGGGATACATAATTTGTGTAATAATCATGTGTTGCTATAATTTTGATCTAAATGGCACATGGAATTTCATTCAGTTTTACAGGTAAAAATGACTGTGAAGGGAAACAGTGTGTGGAAAGCATTATCGCCAAGTTTGCTATGTTACTTAAACTGAACTAGTCTTTGCTTAACAATATGCTCTTCAGTTTCTTCAAGAGCTTTTTTTTTTTTTCCCCATTCATATGAATTAATTAGCCAATCTTAAATCAATGCCTGGGTAGGAGAGGTTGGATCCAAGGCGCTTAAGTGTATTAAAACAAAAGTGTATTTTCCCCTTGGCTTCTGCTTTATAAAATGAAAAAGGCTGGCGATGTATTTCAGAATAAGCATTGTACTGTAAATGTACTGCTTTAATGTAAGATAAACCCAACACTGATGAGTATCTTCTCTTTCTGTGGACTGTTGCATTGTTCTATATGTTTAAAGCATAATTAGTTGGGATAACATGTCTTGACCTGGGTGTTTTACTTCACAATTAGAATCAAGTAGCAGTGTTTGTGAGATTGTTTTATATAATTGGAATGAGCTTCTCTCTTCAATTTGGTGTGAAGATAAGAGTCATTACAGCCTTTGAGACAATAGCAAACAATAGATTATGCTCCCGTGTTGTTGCTGGAGGCCTATGATTGTCATTCTCTTTCCACAGCGGATTGCAGTAATCGGAATTTTCATTCAGGCTGAAAAAAATGACAGTCAGTACCCCAGGTTGTCATTGCAGAGGCTATAATGAACTTTGATGTATTTTATTATAGAAATGGAACTTCAGCCTTTTACTGTGCAAAGAACCTTTTCAGAATAAATATTCTTAGTCAGTCTTCCAGGAAATTTTACAAAGGAGCTCCTTTAGGTGAAAAAAAATCCTTTCGGTCATCTAAACTCCAGGATTGGACAGAAGCTGATCAGAATTCCTCTATCATATACATTATTTTAATAATTAGAGATCTGTGGCTAATGTTGCATGGTACAGATTAATTTTGCTAATGATAGAAATTTTTTTTTAGTAAATTGTAATCCATCTGTTTTTATATATATATAATGTATATAAGGCATACTTGCATGCATGCCCACACACAGGTATGTACATATTATCTATTATTAAGTTCTTTAATGCAGTTCAGAAGGGTGATTTTACAACAAATGAATTTGCTCTGTTTCTCTGTAGCTATGGCAATCTGTGAAGAATACCATTTCAAAAATATTTCTGTATTATTTAATGACTCAGTCTATAGTAGGAAAGCTGGCCACTTCTCCACTCTGTAACAGATACGTAAGTGCTACTCAAATGTAAGTAGGGAAAAATACTTTCTGACATAAAAATCTGCAAAATTAACTATTGCTGAAAATGCCTACAAAATGCTCGTTCATTCATTATGGGTTTTTACGTTTTTATCTTTGTGCTGAACTTCGTAGCACAGGTACTGGCAGTATCTGTGGTGTGCTTCTGATCCTCAGAGAGTAGACTGGAATTACTTGCTCATTTTGTAGGAACATGTAAATTATAAATTGGTTTACAGCCTTTATAGTATACTGGGCTTTGTACCACTGCGTGTGTTACTCTGGATAAAACAGATCTCACTTTTGAAAGGCAAATTTCTTCCAGACCTTGTTCAAGCTCACTAATTGTTGGGTTACAGTTAGCTCCACAGGGGAAAGGAATGGACTCATTGCCATCTCCTGCCTCACAGCTGTGAGAGATGACTAGCCTTAGAAGAGGGAGCCATGGCAACAGCAAGGCCCTTCGTGCACATGCAAATTCCTGCAACTCTTTGAAGTAACAAAATTGTTCCTGAAGTCATCTAGGCAGAGATGTGTGTTCACGTAGCTGAGTGCCATGAGTTCTCTTCTGGCACCTGGACACACGTGGGTGACACAGGTCTGGTCTTCCTGAGACTGGAGTGCAAATTCAAACCACCAGCAACATCAGTATATCCTGATGTAACACGGGTGGGCTGTACCCTGTTTGCAATATTGAGGGGCAAAACAATGGTGTTGGTAGTTAAGTAAAAGATACAGAAGGTAAACTTGTCTGTTTTGTTAAGATACTCATATGTAAATATTTCAAAACGATTAGTTTAGCTACTTTTTAAGGGATGGCTCAAACACTGTACTGTCCAAAGTGGAACAGTGTACATTTCCTTTACCTGTGCTTATTGTCAGCTAGTGTGACTGCTGAAGTCACCATCCTTCAACTATATGACAATCCGATAGGATTTGATTGCTTTATTATTTTTCTCTAGACTCAGAAATATTTATTTCTGAAATACTTGTATTCCTTTTACTGAATTTAACTTTGCAAAAAAGCTTATAAAATTTCTTCACGTAGTTTAAGATTTCTTCTATAGCTTCCTGATCAGCATCTATATTGTGTTAATTTTTAACTTGTGGCCTTATATCTTCTTACAACAGACATCTCATTAAATATAAGGAATAAACTTCAGGAAAGAAACTAAAGATTGGCTGGTGCAACCATTTTCGCTTAAAATGTTTTGGCTGGTTTAAAATTGGCTCTTTCTGTATATTTATCATTTGAATCAAATATATGCTAAATGAGT